TTAGGAGCAAACAGGTATATAACAGAACCAGTTAAGTAAAGGACCTTCTAAAGAAGAAGGTTTTGAGTATAGATTTGAAGGAGTTTAGAGAAGGTGACTCTCTGATATCCTTAGGGATAGAGTTCTGGAGCTTTGGGGCATAACGGGAGAAGGTCCTGTCACCCATAGTGTGTAGAGTCTAGAGGAAGCAAATGCAAGGACTCCAGGATGGGAGTAATGTGATCACTTGCACTAGTCTGGTTTAGGATTCTGGCTGCTGAAGTTTTGGACAAACCCCAGCGAGTAGCGCATTACAGTAGTCAATTCGGGAGAAGACAAATGAGTTGATCAGCTTTTCAGCAACAGGTAGTGATAACAGGATGTAGTCTGAAGATATTTCTAAAAAGATGTTTTGAAATATGATGTTTTGGCAATATGTTAGACATGTGGATCAAATGTCAATCCTGAATTAAACACAACCCCACGTTTTTCAATTTTGACTGAAACTCAAGTAAAGTACCATCCACACATTGGGTTATAACATTGGCTTTACAAAGTTGATTAGTGTGCCAATAAGCATGACTTCAATATTGTTACAGTTTAGATTAAGGAAATTTTGAGTAATTCATGTTTTTATGTCAGAGCTGCAAATAGGGAAAATAGAGACACCCACATCAGTGTCAGGTTTGGTATGGATATAGATTTGAGTATCGTCAGCATAGAAGTGATAGTTGAAGCAATGTGATCTTTAAAGCTGACCAAGTGGATTCAGTAGGGGGATCCAGTATTGAGCCCAGAGAAAGACCAGACTTAATGAGTCCAATTTCAGACAAAACACCAACAAGAGAGACAAAGTGACAACAATGAACGAGGTAAGACTTGAACCATTTAAGAGCAGTGTCAATAACTCCACAGTCTGAAGACAAGAAAGTAATATTATGTTTAACAGTGTCAAAAGCTGCACTGAGATCAAGAAGAATGAGGATAGAAAGAGAACCAGAATTGGAAGCTATTAGAAAATCGTTAGTGACTTTGACAAGGACAGGTCTGTGCCGTGAAGCCATTTTGGAGGGGTTCAAAAAGGTTATTTGCAATGTGGTGTTATTTAATTGAATTGTAGCTGCACATTCTAGAATTGTTGCAAGAAAGGGTAAGTTGGAGATTGGGCAAAAATTCTTTCAATCGTACAGATCCATGTTTGGCTTTTTTGGCACAGTGGTAATGACAGCAGTTTTGAGGACTGTTGGTACGACACCAGTGCTCAAGGATTCATTTATTATATTGAGGGCAATGGGGCAGAGAGAAGTGAAAAAAGATTGAAATAATGTGGTGAGAATGGGATGTAATAGGCAGGTGGTGGATTTCACATGCAAATCCAGTTTACAGAGAAGAAGAGAGAAGTTAGAGAAAGGGAACCAGTAAAGATGGGCAAGCAGGGAGGAGGTGTGGAAGTGACTTGCGTTGTGGAGAGAATGTGATGTTGGATGTTGTTGATTTGGAGCTAAAGAAATCTAAAAATGTGTTGCAAAGTTGTGATGAGGCATGTAATTGTGGTGGGGCAGTTAAGCTTTAGCTGTCTGTTGATGGTGGAAAAAAGATGTCCAGGTTTGTTATAGTTATTTTCAATGATGTGAGAGAAGTAGTTGGATCTAGCAGACTCTAACGTGTCCTTATATTCAGACATGTAATCTTTCCAAGCCCGATAATCTATGACTAGGCCAGAAAGTCGACACCTACGTTCCAGTTTCCTGGAGACTGAACAAAGATGGTTGGTATACCAGGGGGCAGAGTTAGAAAAAGAGTTGGTTCAAGTTTTCAAATGGGCTAAGGTTTTGAGGTTAGATAAGCGAGTGCTATTTAGCAAATGTATTTCATCCTCATGGATCAGAGGAAGAGAAACAAGATAAGGAGGACAGAACAGAATTTGTGATCCTGATCGCCAGTTGCAAAAATTTACAGAGCGTGAGGGGAAGTGTTAGAAACAGGTAATTCCAGATTGAAAAGAATAGCTAAGTGGTCAAAGAGGTCTAGTTCAAGGGAAGAGATGTGCGAAACAAAAGAGTCATTTGCAATAATGAAATCAGGGGTGTGTCCTGTGTTATTTGTTGGGCTAAGAAGAAACTGGGTTAGATCAAAGCATCCCAACAGAGCTAGAAAATACTTGGCTATATTGGAAGACCATGAATCATTATGTATATTAAAGATGTCTTCTTCAATGTCTATGTAAAATTATGTCTTCATCACTAAATAGAACAAAATATTTATTTTTTTAATCAAAACTACCATCTTCCTCCAAGTGACTAGCTATCAGTAATAGAAGCATTATAAGTGGCATCTTTGTACATACAATTTATTATGCATTACATGACTAAGTTTGCAGAATATTTTAATTCATCAAATTCTGAACTGGATATTTTTTCCCCTACGGGAATCAGACAATTTGTTTTTGTTCTTACATGATTTAATGTAATTGCAAGGTAAAGTAACCCTTCTTACTTTATGCATTCAAAGGATCCCAGAAAAAGGATCTTGTTGTTATAATAGAAATAATGCAGTTTTTGAGCACTCCTAACAAAGTAAACATGCAGAAACACATAAAGTCTGAATTCTGTCTAATAATATAGATTGCAATTGTGGCAAAATATCCAGAACATTCCAAAGAGGTACTAGGTAGAGAACTGTAAGCTGTGCTGGGGGTGTGACTGCTGTCAATGTGCTGGTGATGCAGGCTGGAGGCAGCGAAGGATGATTACCGTATCCACTGCGAGGAGCTGGAGAAACAACTAATCGAAGTGCAGCACCGTAACGATGAGCTTACCAGTCTGGCAGAGGAGTCCCGAGCCCTCAAAGATGAGCTGGACATCTTGCGGTATGACAGGGGCCTCTGTAACAAGAGGGAAAGAGTCAGGAAAGCAATGTGGGATAAGACTTCTTGCTGCTTTGGTCCATTTCAAGTATCATAAACCAATGCCTGGTGATGGTTTTTTTTATTCTTTCTGGTGTTTTGCATTTACTTATTTTAAATGCAAAATTTAAAGTATTTTCTGTATCATCCGTCAAATTCCTTCAACACCTACTGCTCCTTTGGATACAACAGAGTAATACAAAGAGTAATTCTGATTTAAAGTGTTCAGTCATAATCCCACAGGTGATAGTTTCTCTACATCGGCTCCTCAGCCAAGCACATACACCACAAGTCTGAACCTGAAAGTGCAATAACTTAAAAGAGGGCATAAAAGAAGAAACATGGAGACACGTCTTATTTTAAAGATGGTGAAGTGACGGGACAGAAGAAGGATGGAGAATAACGATGGCTGTGTGTGCTGGTGTCTGCAGGAGCTGCTCTGACCGAGCAGTAAAGCTGGAAGCCTCGGTGGAGACCTACAGGAAGAAGCTGGAGGGCCTGAGCGATCTGAGGCGACAGGTGAAGAGCCTTGAGGAGAAGAACATGACGTACATGCAGAACACTGTCAGCCTGGAGGAGGAGCTGCGCAAGGCCAATGCTGCTCGTGCTCAACTGGAGACATATAAGAGGCAGGTAGGTACAGTGACAGAGATGTAGGGCGCACCTGTGCAGGACTCTTGGGGACAACAGGTTAAAAATATATGGATATTATTATTAATAAAATACTTAATGATATATATTTTACCATATAAAAGATATATGGTTAAAACTAGAGAATTGAAATCAAGGGATATTATGTTGAAATTGTATAATGCACTAATAAGGCCTCCTTTAGTATATTAGGTACAGTTTTGTCCATTGTGATAGAAAAGATGTTACTGCTCTGGAATCAATCCAGAGAAAAGCAACCAGATGCATGGCGAGGCTTAAGAAAATATCCTGTACTGATAGACTGAAGAAACTGAATTGTTTTACTTTTGAGCAGAGAGGGCTGCAAGGGTACCTGATACCACTATTCAGAATCTTCAAAAACTTTGACAAAGTACACACTGTGCATTTATATAGAATGAACAGTGAGACACAAAGAGGGAAGTAGAAACTCTATGGAAACACATTTAAAACTGAGAACAGGAGGCACCTCTTTCCCATAGGGTTGTGGGAGTTGGTAACAAACTACCCAGCTTGTAGTTAAAGCCTATATTCTGTCTTTTTTCAAGAAACAGCTGGCTGAGATCTTTCAGTTGACTTCTGATATCAACTATCAAGTACCAAATAAGTTACACAGGTCAAAAGGCCCCCTCTTTTCTGTGATGTTTCTTATGTTCTAATGAAAGAATCAAATCACAATCATTCAATTTTCCTAACCTGCGATTGGCAAGACCAAGCTGTAGTACCAAATCCATGTGATGTTTTTTGTGCCATATTGCTTATCATGCTTGTTTTTTAGAGCTACATACTCGGGACAGCTGAAGCCAGGGTCTTTTTACTAATGCATGACTTTTGTCTGAAAGGTGCAAGAACTGCACAGGAAACTTTCTGATGAATCCAGAAGAGCTGACAACTTGGCATTTGAAATGAAAAAATTTGAAGAAAAGTATGAAACTCTACTGAAAGAAAAAGAGGTATTCTTCCATTCATAATTGGAAGCGTCAAGTGTGTTATACAATAGATATGCTCTCATAAAGTATAGTATAAAATTCATAAAACGTACAGTGGACTTATCCTGTTTGTTTAGGATTAATGCAGAACACATTTTAAAAAGGTTGATTCCATAATATCTTTGGTAACCTTTATTTACACAATTCCGTTTTAGAAATCAGGGTAAATAATATAGTCACACTGGTGTTTAGTAATAACTACAGGAATGGCCGTGTTGTGTGTACAGGACTGTAATGATGCTCTGTTAATGATAGTTCAATGACATGGTTTCACTACCAGAGGCTGATCATTGAGCGGGATTCCCTGAAGGAGACCACTGAGGAACTAAAATGTACACAGGCTCAGCAAGACCAGCTCCTGCAAGCAGGTAAAATGTCAGTTTATTTAGGAAGCCTGCAGCATTCACAGAGATCCAGATTTTAAAAGGAGCTGGAGATCTGGGAAGCATGTCAACTTGCCCTAATTATGCAAATATTTGTTCTAATTAAGTCACTACAAGCACAGCTGGAATGAAAGCCTGATGACACTGAACCCCCCAGTTGTAACGAAAGGGTAAAAAATCCTTTCTCCCATGCACACAATGAAAGATGAAGAGTTTTGTGCTGAACTGACATTTTCAGCCTTTGCTCGTGAGATTATATGTATACTATACACCTGTATTCAGTACACGTTTCTATATGCATTGCAGGTACTGTACATCTAAACATAATAACCATTTGACTTTTTTTATAGGAAGGATCCCGTGCCCTTACAGATTTTGTAAATTCTATAACCTTACAGAGCTCTGGATGATTTCTGAAAATAATTTCTAATTACAGTGCTTCTGTAACAACATTGTGTTGATATCCAATGTGCGTGTTGCAATTCATGGAAAGTAGGAGAGCTAATAAGTTACGTATCCTCCTGAATAGCAGTTTTAGAGCTCTGAAATGTCCTTAGACTGCTTTATGCTATTTATGCAGGGAATCTCTGATCTGTGCTCTTTGTGTTAGGTTTCTGAAATCTTTGCTTTTATATTTGAATTTCTACAGTGAATTAGGAATAGTTATTGTAAAATAGGGAAAGATTGCATGTTTTATGTTTTGGATTATGTAAATGTAAACCTCATTTAATGCATTTGGTCATATCTTGTACATTGTAATAGTTAGAGATAACTAGAAAACATGCTGCCTTAAATTCAGAGGTTTACAAACATTTTCACTTTGACTTTAACATCCTTTCTAGGTATATTTCCTGCAGGAAGTCCTAGCCATGACACTTTAGCTGCTGAAATCCTGCCTATTGAATACAGGTATATTTTTGTCTATATCTTTCTTGTGAGATTTTATTGTTAAAAGAAATGTTGTCATAAGTACTGTACATTGACTACCAAGAGTAAATAGTCAGTCAGTGATGGCTAATTATTAGTTTTAGAAAAAAGCCAAATGTTTTTTTTCTGGTAAGTTCTGTTTCCTAATGAGACACAAAAATGGGTGTCTGTCTTAATGTACAGATGCAACCATTCAAAACAAGCGGGCGATACCGCATTATTTTGCGGTGCGCTTTACGCAGTCTACCGCAAGTTACCGTAAATTCTCGTATAATACTGCAAGTCAAATAATAGTATCCGGAATTTCCGCAAGGTGGAGCTAATTAAGCTCAACCTCTCATGTTTGAGCTGTTGCCATCAAAGTCTTAAAACGAAGATATTACTAATAGTATTAATAGTGATGACCTTGGACAAGCTGTAAACTCAAAGTATTGCCCTGGTCCACATTCTTTTTTTCATTGACCCTCTTTGTAAAAGTAACACCACAGCATTTCGCAATCACGCATTTGTTTCCAATCATGCAAAGTACAGTAATTTTTGAGAATCGATTCACCATGCCTTTCACATGCTCATAAAAGAGATTGATTTAGGAACATAAACATATTACTGTATGCAAACTGTACTGTATACAGTATGTATATGTATATTTAATGTCTTAACTGTGCCCATTTAAGTATTGAATATTTATATGGAATTTTACCACTGAAGGGAAATCTTAGTGCCTGAGCATAAAAAGAATAGGAGCATACTGCAACGCGTGTGAAGGCCATAAACGATATTAATTTTGGAACTTAAACATACAGTATATGGCTGGTCTCGGTACTTTAAAGAAAACATACACACCAGTATTCCATTTCTCCCTAAACATTTTAAGCATCGAAGTCTTTAACTAACGTGATACCGGAGTCAACAAGCATACTTTTAGAATTTGATTAAAAGGGAATATAATATGGAATCGCGTATCTAAAGAAATTAATAACGATATAATTATATTCATGTACCGCAACACAAGAATAGTACACACTGTACATTGTCTGTTGATAATGTTTCTGTAGTGCTTTTTCAGCACTCTGCATGTGACTTTGCCGGTGGCGCTGTGGGTTAGGTTTCTGACTCCCACGTCACATGCTCTGTGTTCGAATCCAGCTACAGCCATGACTTTTTTTTAACAAACATTTCTTTGAAAAAATAAAATGTTTCCCTGGTTCAGAGATTAAATAAAACCTCACTCGCACCAAACAAATTTATATTTCTAAATATCACAACATGATCAAATTTAAGTCATTTTAATAACAATGAATAGTCACCTAGGCGTTACAATATAAAATACATTTACTGTAAATCTTTCTATGACTGACCAACAGACCATGAGTGCCCCTGTCGGTCAACCAATCACACACGGCGGTATTTTGCGTCATCGCGCGTCACGATGCGCGATGCCGTAGCCAATTACCTCTGGTACGTGTCTGTACCACGCACTTTGAATGGCCACATCTTACAAAAAGCACTGTTCGTTAGAACTGTAAATTAAGATGTAAATTAAATCATCAGATCCTTGCCTGTATACTGTCAGTTATTTGTTTGCCTTGTGTTATGATCTCTGCACGTGCTCTGTGTGTCTTTTGCTGTGTGTCCTGTGCACTGACCTTACTGTATGCCAACTTAGGGAGAAGTTTATCCGCCTGCAACATGAGAACAAGATGCTGCGTCTCCAGCAGGAGGGGTCGGAGAACGAGCGCATTGCAGAGCTGCAGATTCAGCTGGAGGAGGCCCATCGCTGCAAGAGTGAGCTGGAAACTGAAAACAGGTGAGCTTCCAATAGGTGAAGGTGACAAGAACACGAACCCCACAACTGAGCGGACAGGACGAGGAATGGAATCGCTTAAACAAACAGACACCCCTGCAGTGTCAGAGATCCAGGGGTGGGAAGGTCTTGTGAAGAAGGAGCGGAGAGTACTGTGGGAACACAGAGGACAGCAGTGTGGTGGGGTTAGCTGGTTACAGTGCTATTTCCCATTTCCAGGCTGAACCAAGAGAGGATCAGTGAGCTGCAGCTGCAAGTTGAAGATCTTCAGAAAGCTTTGCAAGGACAAGGATCCAAGACTGAAGATGTAGGTGAATTTAGAGAGCAAAATAATTATAGAGATGCTGGACATGTGCAATATGGGTTTTTACAGTTTTCTTGGGTTACTTTATCATTAGCAAATTCCCTCTCAATGTTAATTAAGATGTACAGTATTTGCTTGTGCACTATTAATATAGTTTAACGTTTGTAAATTACAAGATGGAATCCTAAAACTGATTTGGTATGTTTCTAAAGTTTAAAGTATTTTAAAAGCTTACATTTATGATGGTGTGGAAAAACATTTATGTTTTAATTATTGCACTTTTGTTTTCAGTCACATCTGCAGAAGAAACTAGATGCTCATATGTAAGTAAATATTACATTTCTTCTGCATTTTTCTGCTGAATGTATATTAAATTAAGTTTGTTGTTTGCTGAGTACAGTCTTGTTTTCCTTTGTGATCGGTTTAGAAGCCTTGATAAAAACATAATTTATAATGATGCTAGAAGCTAAAAACATCTTGGGATTGATTTTCCAGATCATTTGTGCTGAAAAGCACAAAAGAACATTGATAGCACGTAATAGAAAAAATAAAAGCTCAAACTACCCATGTTCAGAACACAGCTTTGAATTTGTCAGGGGAACAGATATGGTTGTTTATAATAGCCTTTTAAAAATATATATATTTAAAGGCATATATTTATGTTTGCTACAGTACTTTTTAGACAAAATTATTTTGGTTTGAAATATTATTTGACCTTGTGCTGTCCTTACCTTCTGCTTAAGATCTTACACATGCTTCAGGTGGAAAGGTCTCTTCAGCAGAATGTCTTATGACAGTTAAACTGTTTGACTGAATTGAACACCTTTTTGTTGAACAAAAAGATAGACGGGAAAAGAACGGGACGGGAAAAATTTTCAGATATTTTAAAGTGTTTGTTTTAATTTATAGGGTACAGCTCAATGAAGCCAAGGATGAGATCATGAAGAAGAAAGAGCTGATTGAAGATCTCCAGCCAGAAACTGTACAGAGCTGTAAGTATCATTATCTCTAAAAAACAAGGCAAAGGAAACCATGTGTTACACAATGGGAGACAATGAGATGCCAGTATGTTTCTTTTTGTGCTGTGCTAGTGGTATACTGTTTTTCCAGTGGCACTGTTTAAATCATGACCCATTAAGCCTCTGGCTTCTATGCAGATATATTATAAAGATTATAAATGTTACATCTCTCTCATTTTTTTCCAAAAGTAAAACACATTCATTTGTTTCTGGCAAACTGGAATTCTCTGGGTCACGAAAAACTCAGAAATGTCAATTTCTTGCCAGCTTTAAAAATTGATGAGCTGCACTCAGCTCTGCGGAAGAAGGATGAGGACATGCGGGCGATGGAGGACCGCTACAAGATGTACCTTGAGAAGGCGCGCAACGTGAGTTTGGGTGGATGACTAGAACAGGGGACTTGTGGGGAAAACTTAGGCAACATTTAATTATACAGCAATAAATACTGTAATAATACTGTGTAATAATGTCTTAAATGATTCCTGGACTCTTGAATACTTTAATCAATCAAGCTGGACTTGGTCAGTAATAGGGTTGGATTCCTTGTAATTGAGATGTTTAACTGGGGTCCCGCTTGGTCATTAAAGATCCTAAGGCACTGTTAATAGTACATTGCAGGGGTGGTATTACCAGTGTTTGGGTTCAATTCTGTTTTCCACATATGGGCAACCTTCATTTTCTCCCTTAAATCAATTGCTGAAATGTTTCTCAGTCTCCACCTGATCTGGCACAGTATGTTTTAGGGCTCCTGGATCAAAATGGCTGTCATGTGTCACTTAGGAGGGAGCAGTACTTAAATAGTGGCTGAAATGGATCCCTTTCCTTAGTTTAAAAGTGAATAAGTGACTGGTATGTATACAGAACACAATAAACACACAGGGAAAAGGAACTTGAGCAGTACCAAATAAACGAAAATAACAAACAAAATGGAGCTGGCTAATAAAGTGAAGGGAAGCTGACCTAACTAAAAAACAAAACCCCAAACACTCGGTCTTCTGCGTCTTCTAACGCCCTAGCTAACCTTCACTGACTACCCAAAAGTACTGACTTACCCAAGAGAAAAGGCACTCACCCGTCCTAAACTAGCGTTTCTAATACAAAGACCAATTAAGTGTGAACAATGTACCCGACAACCTTTACTAACCCTTTAAACAAAAGTTCACACAAATACACAAGTGAGCGATGGGAAACGAGAGTAAATACAAGGAATAGGGTACAACAGAGCACAGAGGTTGATATAACATGTGTGGACAAGGTAATGGCGAAATAAAGGATAATACAAACTAATGATAGTACAAGGAGGAGACAAACACAAACCAACAAAGCCAAAGCTATACGGAAACACACACGAACCGAAACAAACGAAAACGAAGAAAGACTAAGCCGAAGCAAAACGAAGCCGAAGCTGAGCCAAGCACAGCAAAACTGAAGTCGAGCGAAAGGCTGATCGAAGCCGAAAGCTCTCGAGGTCGGAACTTCTTCGGTATTTAAACTGTAGATCTAGTTGCTGATTGGTCAGGAGTTGATTGATGATGATGTCACAACTGCGATGATGGTGTAGTGATGGACCAATGGGTGGAAGGTACCTGAATACCGGAAGCAGAAGAAGCAAAAACACGGACACGCACGGGGACGTAACACTATAGAACAAAAATGTATCAAATGACCAAAACATCCAAATGTTATTGATAACTTTTTGTTAGTCCAAGAGAGTGATTGTAGACCGCATGTTTGAGACCCCTGCTTTAAATAATCCCTTTACCCATGACTAACAATAATTATCATCAAGGGGAACACTGGCTGCCAATTTATAAAATAATTCCCCTTGCCGTATTATTGCATGCTATTTAAAAAAGGTATTTAAAAAACTGGTATTCCAGTTGGTTGTTAAGTGGGGTTCATTGCTTATGCCAACAGGTGATCAGGGCTCTGGATCCTAAGCTCAACCCAGCAACAGTGGAAATCCAGTCCTTGAAGAATCAGTTGGCAGAAAAGGATAAACGTATCCTTGCTTTGGAGGTGACTTCACTTAGCCCAATCTTTTTTTGCTTTTGTGGTTTTTTAGGATTGAAAACTGTGATCACTCACTTTAGAAATGTCTTATTTCTTGGAATGTAATGCCCACTGCAATTTGTGGCACAATGTCTATAGGGATGACCTTTTTCATGTTTTTCTAAAAACGTATTTCAGCATTTTTTTTTTATTTTCATCAGCCTGCCACATACAACCATAGAATTCCGGCAGCATTTTTTATACTGTAACTATTCTTTTAAACTGCAGCGAGAATGCGAACAAGCAAAACTGCGGGAATATGAGGAGAAACTGATTGTAACAGCTTGGTACAACAAGGTAGGTGTTAATGGGCTCTGAATGAGCAGTTTCTTCCTTGCTTCAAATCTAATGAAGTGCTAATATTTTAGGCTGATTATTTTCCAAACTCCTTATTTATTGCCTTAATTTGTTTTGTAAAAGCACAGGAAGTGTTCCAAGGAATGCATCATCTGAAACAATTTTTTTTTCATTTGTTGTGCAAATTAAATGAATGAATGATTAGTTGTTTCATTTGTTTGAAGTTCCAAAAGATATTTCTGCACCCATTGAATATACACATGTTGAATATTCTGGTGTTATTAAATTGTAAAATTATCATTTTAACCAAGGAGTGCATATAGTTGTTTTACTACATGACTTGGCAGTCCTGCCATGCCAGAGGCATAGAGTCAAAGTTCATAAACCTTTCTTAGTAATGGGACTTTCAAGTCTTAACTGTCCATAATGGGTTAATACTGTAAATACCTTTCAAAAAGGCACATCTTCAGTCTTAAGCCCTTCATTATCCTCTGACATTAACATCTCTGAACACATGTTCAGATTTCTGATGTAGAATACGCTTTACAACTTATGTGTCTGGAATTTTTTTTTTTGCCTTGGCAAACATTAAGGGAGCCCGATCACTAATAGCCCATTATGATCTATTACCCCACCTTGGAGCATTGTTGCTAAAAACACCTCATTTCCTTTTCCCATTAATTTCTTTCATGACCAGATGGCTAGAATCAAGTGACCTTAGAGCACTGAGAGGACAAGAAATTATTGACGTTTTGAAGCATTTCAAAGCAAGTTGTTGAATATTTTGCCTACTGTACATTAAAGAAATTCATGTTTAATTCAGATTTTTGAACATATTTCCCCCAAGGTTATCTTTGCCCACGATTATCTCTTTTCGATATGAATTGAATACCAAAAGATTAGTGACTGTCTGTGAAACAGATTCCTGACATTTGAAATGCACCTCATCTGTAACAGATTTGGAAATGGTTTAGCATAACATACATGGATAAAAACAAAACCTCTGCTATATTTCAATGAGTCTATGTTGGATAGATCAAGCTCACAGTGGAGCAAACTACTATATCTGGTACCAAGACTTTTGTAATTCATTGTTAAGTGTCTCATTTGGAGGGTTTGTATATGCAATATGTCATAGATGGAAAACAGCAATGGGAAAAGCAGATTGTTCCTCCCCATGTAGGTGTATAGGCGTGTTAATTTGTGTGTGTATATTTGCATACTGTATGTGTGTGATGTTAAATTTAAGGTCTCTGTGCCTGTTATATTGTTGCAGAGTCTATATTTCCAGAAACTGGCAATTGAGTCCCGCTTGGCAGGGAGGGTGGCAAGTGGAGTGCCTTCAGGACACTCTTTCTTGGCCCAGCAGCGTCAGGTGACCAACGCCAGGCGCACCCTGTCAATGAACATGCCAGCCACCCCCTCTAAGTAGGCCTGGCCTCTTCCATGGACATTAACACACATAAGTGACCTTAAACATGGGTATGACCCGCAAAAGGGAAATAGGTTTCATGCAAAGATACACAAATGTTGTTTTTAAGTAAGAAAGATTAAAAAAAAACTTGAATCCTAACACTTACTTGTCCCAATAGGCAGTCAGGGAAATAAACTAACATGTTCAACTTCAAAGAGAATATAGATTCAACCTTGACTTTGAGATGGTTACGTTTTGTGTTGTAAAAAGAATAGAAAGTTTGATACAGCTGCTTATTTACAGTATGTGATGTTTTTCAAAAACTTTGACCAAGTCACTGAAATCAAGACTTCTGCTTTAGCCCCCCAAAAAACAACGTCTTTAGTAACATAAAGACTGTGATGAAGAATTCACTGCAATCTTCTTTCTAAAATCAGCTGCACAAAGCTAAGGTATGCGTATACGTGATCTGACAACTGGAATCAATTTCCTGTCGTTAAACTCTGTTTATTAAGTTTTGCATGAATTACTTCTGTGAGATAAAATAGACTGATAACTTCTTACAATAAAATGATGCTGGACATCAAAAGCTTTCACTTTTTATGCAGTATAGCTGCTAAAAATGTTTCTTCTAGTTAAATGGGAAAAGTGAAAGACCAATCATTGCTATGTTACTGACATTACATCGTCTGGCCTTGTATGGTCGACACAAATATTTTTTTGCTGACAGAGCCAAGGTGCTTAAATGTAATTTCAACATTAATTGACTTATTTTGTATGTATATGTGATGTTTCTTGACTGCTGCATGGTCTGTTAAAACAATCAGAGGTCTTTCTTCTAAAGTGTTATGTAATAGCTTTTAAGAGATAGGTAGAAATAGTTTTCATTAGTCACACTGAATACAAACCTAGAATGGAACTTCCATGCAAGAGTATAAAAACTTTTGTGCTTTATCAAAATTATTGCAGTGGTTTGTAATTTTCTCACACCCTCTTTGCATTACATTAGTAGTTACTGTACGTCCACAAACTGTGTTCTTCACTTTAAAAAAACTTTCGATACAGTATATCAATTTTTATGAATTCCTCTATTTTAGCTATATTCAAATTCATACCCATATATATTTGTACATAAATAAAGTTAAGGTTTCTGAATTTGTTTCAGATATAAAACTATTGTTAGTGAAGTGTTAAAATGTGTTAAGGATTTAACATTAAGTTTAATTTCTGATTTAAGCAAATTACAAAAAATAATGTTACATTTTTTATTTGACATGGATTTCTTGCATTTCAATAATAAAAATGTACATGTATGCTTATTTTAGTTCTTTATCGTTTTCCTCTCTAACATTTTAATGATTTAATCTTAGTTAAAATTGAGTGTCTTCACAAATAGATTCTCAAGATCCTGTCGGATAAGGATGAGAGAAGCAAAAATATAGCACTCTTAAAAGACATTGAAACATTACTGTTAGAATCCTTTAGGTGCCACTAGAGTTCCATTAACACAAATGAGAAATATAATGAGCAGGTGATCTAATTTTAATTGCACATAGAAACCCAATATTAAATTATCTATTTTTAATGCAATAGGAAAATATCAATTTTTATATTTGACAATACTCCAGATTTGATTTGAGGATATCAGTTTTTTTATTCTAATTTCTATGATCACCAGCAAAATAAAAAACAAAGAATACCAGCAAAGTTCACAGCTAAAAATACAGCCAATTTAGCCAATCCACAAACATTCTTTATTTTGTCTTATTTAGTATTTGGCCTGTCGACTAATATAGTAAATTCTAGGGACATATTGGAAGCTTACTTTTAACTACCTGATTCTAAGATGTACCATTAAAAAGGAATTAAACCTAATCTCAAGCATTCTAGGTGTTAGATATTTGATTTTGCAGTTGTCAGTATAATGTACTGTAAATAATGTACTTTTCATTTTCTATTTGTATTTCTGTAACACTATACAGTACACTCTCCACTTAACTTGAAATGTGATTTTTCAAGGTTTCAGAATAAACCAGGACCCTTTTTTTTTGTTTTAAAAAAAATGAAAAATTACTTTTCATACACTTGGAACTCACGTGTTTTGAGTTTCTCGAAATCTCCAAGAATTAAAACACAGAAATAAGATTTAACTACAATTTTTGGGGTGATTTTTTAAAGTTCTTCCCCATATTGATAGTAATATATGGCTACAGACACATTGTTTTATGTTTAATGAACACTACTTGCATGATTTCAATTACAGTTGTGTTGCATGTTGTGAAATCTGATTCTAAAAATAGATTTATAAAGATATATATTTGGGATCTATAAAGAGGAGCAGAATGAGATCTTTGATCGGCAAGCCAGCAACTACAGTAAGTGCTTGTAGAGTTGCTGAAGAGTCTCATCTGTGACTTTCGTACTGTTCTTGTATATTGGGGAATCACAGCTGGTTAACAGTGTATGGTTTCAAATGCAATTGGATTACTTTTTAAAACGTATCTACTTATCTTGAGGATACCTGTTCTTAAATAAAAATGTGCTTTGTGGGTTTTTTTGCATTGCATTTAGTTTTGTTCTAGAAATAGCACATTGGGAAATCACAGCTGGTTAACAGTTGTCGAAGAAAACTCAGTCTTCGCTCAGGTTGGGAGATTGTCAAACAAAGATCTTTAATACAATCAGCTGAAGGGGAGCATATCACAGAGAAAAAGTTTCCCCTAGCACTCAAGACATGCTCCCTGGACTGGAGTTACATTTTCCTTTTTATACATTAAAAGTAGGCAAGACTTTAACATACCAAAGGAACATACAGGGAAAAGAGCAGTGTCAGAAGTCAAACAGGACAGGAAGATGCCATTTGGCACCCTACAATCTATTTCATTTCTCTCTGGTTGAATGGGTGTGAGGAATCACAGGCTTTAGTTTGCAACTAAGACAGTGGTCTTAGGTGCAACAGAAAAACCTTTCCCGTGCATAGTCACTGTCTTGACCTTTTGACTCGGTCTTCCACACAGTGTATGGTTTCAAATACAATTGGATTATTTAAGATTACTCTTAAATAAAAATGAGCTTTGTGGTTTTTATTTTGGCATTATATTTAGTTTTTATATTATATTTTGTTCTAGAAATAGCACAGAAGTTTAAAGTATGATTTGTTTACATTATTCTGTTTTAAAAAGAGAAGTTATATCAATTCTTCTTTGATTCTCAATTATTTTATTTGATCCCAGAATTGCTAGGGTTTAGTTGTCCACTCATAGTTATTCAATTCAGAGCATAGTAAAATAAAATACTGTGCATATCCAGGCTAGAGAGTAGTAGAAGAATCAGGGAGAAACCAGCCTCAATACATTCTTCAGAGTTACTTTGAAATGTAAAAGCAAATATTTAATTCTACATATCAATCATTAACATATGCACTGAATGATTAAGCAGATTTTATTGCTCTTTTAAATCTGTATTTTTCTGGTCATTATTGTGGCTTCATAAATAACTGTTGGTACATTTTAAATAATAATTGTGCAGCACCTGTAAAATGTCAAAATATTTCACAAATATTTGTATTATTGTGAAATAACTACCTCTAAAGCCAGTCTGTGGATTGTAAATGTCTTCCTAGCATGACACAATAGTTGTAGTAGTTTGTTAAAAGAAAAAAAAAAAGGCTGCTTGTTCTCAAATTTCAGATTGCATTTTACTGAAGTCCTTTTGAGTAGTAGACACGGAGTTCAGTGTTGTGGTCTTGTAAGGAAACTTTGCTTTGAACTCTTCTTTGTAAATGTTATTTGAGTACACTTTATTTTCAAAAGCAATGCAAGTCTAAACTTCTGCGACCCAGCAAGGCCTCCCACAAGAGAGCTAAACCTTCCAGCAGTAACTTAATTCCAAATTGTTTCTCTTTTCAAGACTTTGATTCAAGAGCTGATTGGAAAACCCTCAGAGTTTAAATTTATTATTTTTTAAAATAATAAAATTCTTTTAATAAAGTATGAATATTGAAATATCTGGAAAATAAAAATGATCTTTATTGAATAAATCTGTTCTTAATTGAGTTATGAATAAGTAAATTAATGTAAATATATTAATATAATATATTTACATTCTTACTAAGAGTAAATTGAATTTGTTTAAAAATATGGTGCCTATTTCTTTCTTTTTAGGCCCATACTGTTATTGCATTACATTATGCCTTTACTGTTAATTATTAAATTTTCATTTATTTGTTTACTCTTATTATGAATTTAAACATGACCCTGTTTCAGAGCTTGTTTTTTATTATGTACAATAATGCTGATCACTTATCCAAGGTTAAGTGTTTGAGGTTGTATGCTAAAGGTACTTCGGAAGGAAAGTACCAGGTAGGCATTAAAAAGTCTTTTGCCTACATTAGAAGTTTTTGAGTATGTTGCCATTTTTATTTCATGTGATCATTTAATTCCATATATTTACAGCCAGATTTTATGTAAGACAGTTTTAATTGAAAAGTAAAAAATGCAGTGAACTTAAAATATAAGGAAGCAAATATATTCTTTTAATGGAACTGGGTCATTGGGTTTTTGTTTTGTAGAATCTGATAAATTATCCCTGTTTTTAAAACATTTTAAATCTCTGTTTAATCAGCAAAATTGCTATGCTGTGTAAATGTTACCATTCTTGCTTGCTGCCATGGTTACATTGAGTGCATTAAGATGTGCAGAGCATTGAAATTGCATACATTTCTCTTTTGTTTTGTTGTGACTAGTGTGAACTGTCATGTACTGTTCATTCATAATGTTAAGTGAACTGAGGTGACTAAATGCTACTGCTATCTATTAGCAAACTGTGTTATTTAATAAAAATTAAGTTGAAAGTATAGTGTTCTGATGGAAATCTGAAATAAATGTTACTTAGTCATTGGTTTTGAATGATTATTTTCTTGTGAATTCCTTCCAAAAGCTATTGTAGGATCAAATTGCATTTATTTCAGGTTTCCTTGAATACACAAATTAATTTTTAACAGACACGTTTAGTTTATTGTATGGCAGAATGTGTGGACATCACTTTGTTAGAACACCTGATGTACACTATGTACTATTAATGTCTTTTTCTCAAATTTCACGCATTTTTGAAGATATGTGGAGTTGGGGCCAACAAAATCAAATAACAAAAGTTCTCAGAAAAACTGCTGTCAGAAAACTATAAGCTAGACAAAGTTAATATTTTCTTTCATAATGGTTAAAAACAAATTCAAGTAGACCAGAAACCTAAATTAATTAAAAAGCTAGTTACTCAGAATTTGGGAAATTTTCTGTTTAATTCCAGTTGACAATGATGCTGTGGAGCATTGGGGATCTCTGTTATATGACAAAGTATTTCCTCTGAAGGAGGATTAAGAATACCATGCTCTCTCTTTGCTGTACAGTGCAGAACACTTCTGATAAATCATCCCAGGCTGAAGACAATAAACTAAAATGATCTAATCAGTTTGTTGTGCAAGATAAATATTGAGTTCCTAGTTAAAGCTGTGCTTTTAAAATTGGAAAAATACAAAACATTGTAGAGACAATATATTTTTTCAGTGTTTGTCAAGTTTATGCCTGTATGTTGGTGGGCCTATTTTTGTAGCTGATAGTGATATTATAAATGAACTGTAATAATGGGGCAACCAGTGGGACAAATTGTATGATATTTAGTGTGCGGTTATTCTCTCTGTAATATCAGTGATATTCTTCTACAAATCACAAGGGATAAATCTTCTTTCTTTTAGAATCTGGCCTCTGCCCAAGGTGAAATGGCAAAGAAAATATTTGCTTTGCTCTTTTCATCCACTTAAAAAAAAAACAGAATGCTTAGCTCTTTGCATTGCTTTAATGGATGATATAATATTTAGTTATGGTGCTTTATGTGCTATTAGTTGCTTAAGAATATGTTCAAAAAGAAATACAGTACAAGAGCACTCCACTTATAATAGTTCCATAGGAAAATATAGATCTGTTCCATATAAATGAAATTCTGAAAAGCATAAAAATTTAAATGTAAAAAGGATACTGGGAACTGGGAAATTTACAGCTGCAGGAATATAACATTTTAAGCATTCATCAAGTTTTATATTTTTTAAAATGTTATGGTCAGATTTTTTTGTTTCTATACTTGTTTTGTCTGAAGATGCTTCAAGGAAGTAGTTTCTTAGTTTAATTATGTCTTTTAGTCTAGACGTTAAATGATTTATTGACATTTTTCACTTGTTACTAAATGTTAAAACAATCACAAAAGATTTTGCACAGTTTATTTTAGAAAGCAGAGCCTATCCATCCTAGATCAATTCTGTAAAGTTCTGTTGGAAGTGGAGGGCTCTTGTACTGGCTCCAAGACACTTTGGAGGATTAGAAATTGTTTTAAAGAGTACATTTTGAATGATGGGGACTCCTGAATTAGTCTGGCTTTCCAATTGGAACGTTTGGACATTTCTGGATCCAGGGTGATGCTATGCAAAACAAGAGAAGAGAAACTGGCAAATAGCTATACTCCTTAAAGAACTTCAGTTTGATTAAATTAATGTTTTTTTGATCATTAATCATATAGACATAAAAAACAATAAACTGTGAATTGATTCCACTGTGACTAACAGTTTATTTTAACTGTAACCTCCCCATCTTTCAAACTTGTACTCTGCAACTTAACAGCTTAAATTTGTAAACTTATAAATGTTAACTTATGAATTTTATTACTGTAAAGCTGTACACTTCTTAGATCAATGATTTTGTAAAGTTATAAACAATGTTGGAGGTAAGGTGGCGTGACCCAATTTTTTGCACTAGTTCTGAATTTTCAAAAACGTATTTTGTTGTAAAACTGTTTATGTTTACTACTGTACAATAAATACCATTAAAAACTAGAAAAGAGTGTTTTTTTTAATACAGTAGCAGTGCTCAAGATTAATTTTAAAATGTGGTATGAAATGTAAAACAACTGCAATACAATTTGTTTGCAAATTTAAGGAATCATCACATTTTGCCTGATTATTATTTTAACGATTAAAGTCAGCGATGCATGAATGAAGTATCAAGAAGTGCCCATTTTAAGGGTGGAATGCTGCATGTTGAGAGTCTAATGAAAGGATGGCAAAAGTCAAAAACACATTTGTATTACCATGTCTTAGCATATACTGTACTGTAGGTATTCGTTCTGTATAAAATTGCTTTCTTTACATAATATCAAGTTTATTCTCTTCTTGTTATGTTAGAAGAAACAATTTTGGTTGTAAAAGCTCTAAATTCTATTCATTTAAAATTCCAATGTTACAGACATGTCATGAATCTGAATTTTTCATGTGAAATAGAAGACTGGGAATTTTGAAATTTCTGGAATATTTACAGTAGTGATAATGGAAAAAGCCTACTATTTTTGCACCACTATTTTGGAAATCCACAAAAACAGTCATTTCTCTGCAGTCAGTGTGGACAAACCCTGGTGCCTTTAATGCCACAGTCCTGAAAGCTGTGTAAATCACCATCTGCTTAAAACTTGGAAACATTCTAAGCAAATTTTAGCATGCTGTTTATTCAATTACAAGACTGGGATCTCACATGGAATATACTGTATGTAACAGCACAGTTCTGAAGTTCTGGCTTTTTCTTTTCAGTCAAAGTGTCCTCTAAAATCTAAATGCCCTGCCCTCCAGTGTTCTTTAGATTTAAGACACTGATGTGGATGTCAGCGTGGAATGGCACAGATCTTGAAAGGCCGAGGAGTTAGGATGCCCCCTAATTGAAATTTCACACTGGGATCTTCCCCTTCAGGGGCTTTGAATGTGAAGTTCTGCAAAAAGGAAGTGAAGAACAGGAACAGCTCCATCCGGGCCAGCTGCTCTCCCAGACACACCCTCTTTCCTGAAAGAAATGAGCAATATCACAAAGTTTTAGTTTATAAACCACATCCTCCTTCCTTGTCCTTTTTATCCTTGTCTTACTTTACTGGCACATGCGATTCTGTGGCTCACCCTACAGGGATTTCAGTGGGAGAAACACCACTCTTATATTCAGTGATCACACTCCTGTGAGCCACAGGGGGCTTGCAGAATGCTATACAGCAAACTGCTTTGACAGAAATAGGTGGCAGAGGAATGTGTTCTCCAAAATGGAGAAATAAAAACATGAAGAAATAATTGTATTTACATTCTTTTTCTCAGAGAAAAAAAAAAAACTAAATGGGAATGTTACTAAAATCTTAACATTATAATGGAGTTTAAGTGTGAAGAGTCAGATGTTTTCTTTCCTTATTCCAATAAGTAGTGTTAGATCCATTACATCTTATATCAATATACTGAACAGTATGTCCCATGTGTTAATGTTATTCTTCTATGTTTTTTAACTTGTTTTTTTTGTAACCAGTAGCAGAAGTATAGTAAATGAAAATATTAAGCATGACCTTGATTTGTGATTGTAGTTGTACCTGCTGAAAATGGAAGAAAAGCTTCTCGTCTGACAAACTTCCCTTCAGAGTCCAAGAAATGCCCGGGATTGAAGGAGTCTGGTGTCTGCCATTCAGTCTTGTCAAACAGCACTGAGGTCAGGTTTGTCATCACTGGTGTACCCTACAAAATAAACATTTCCACTGGGAGTGCTGTCACATTCTCTTCAAAAGGGATTTATAAAATGCAATTTTTTAAAAGTTACACCACTATGCTAAAATCAACAGTATAAACTATAAGAATAATATACAGAAATATCATGTTTTTACACTCATATTAAATAAAGATTGAAAGAAATACAAATGAGATTTACTTATAATTTAGATCTAAGACAACACTTGAGGATTCCATTCCGAATACCTTTTTGCCGTATGAGTGAGAAATGAATTTATTTCAGCTCCTGTCCATTATAAAATAACATGCATTCAAAATTTCAGCTATTCGACAGTTTTTAGATTTACCTTTGGAAGAAAATGTCCCCCCAGTGTTGTATCTTTAGTAGTCATCCTTGGTGCATTCAGAGGAACAATATTGCTTATCCTCTGGATTTCATGGATAACAGCATCAGTGTAGGACATGTTGGGCTTGTCTGTCATGGAGGGCTGCCGTCCCTGTCCAAGCACACTCTCTATCTCAGCCTGGACTTTCTCTGAGAGAGGCAAGGCAAGATATGGCTTTACATACTTCATCACAAAGCACTTATTATACCTCTCAAATGAAGGGTAAAAACAACACAGATGTACAGTAGTTTAAAAACAGTGTATTACAATTGGAATGTATTCTTTTTAATTGATTGTGCTGCCCCCAGAAAGAAACTCTGCATGATGAATATAATCTATGTACAGTATATTAAAAAGTTTTTTTCCGATACTTTGATTCTATATTCTGCAATACACATTACATTCATATGAATGCTGGTGACAAAAGAAAATGTTCAACTAGGACACCACAAATACAGCACATTCTGTGTTATCCAAAAAAAATGGAGATAATTTATTTGGTATTTGTCATAGAATAGTAACTATAGTTTTCAGAAATTACTGTGCCAATAATTACATGAATTATATGGCGTTGTCAGGGCATGTTTAAAAATGTTGGCACAAAGCAAACTGATCTGGGTTACACACCTCAGTTATCTTCAGGAGGTAGCTTCAACAGTTAAAAAATCCATAAGCAGTCATCAAATGTTACATGGACATTTTCTTATTGCAATGGGGGTCAAAATGTAGAATTTTGAAGACAAGGATAATGGAGCTGTTTTTTTTTCCTGTATATTTCTTAGGTTTATCATACATTTTACATTTTGACATTCCACCCACAGTGTCTTCAAATAGTTTTAGTAATACTTCTTCAGTTTCATGCAGTTACTAACTCTGTATCTCTGGGTGTTTGATCATGTAGAGAAGAGCCCAGCGTAGAGACGTAGAGGTGGTTTCAGTCCCAGCTATAAACAGATCCAAAGTGCACAAGACCAGGTTCTTCTCATGGAATCCTGCCTCAGTATCCTCTTTATTCTGACAGGTAGAAGATAAGCAAATTGTTGCATCTTATACTGTAACATTAGCTTACTAACCTATTCTCATTGTGTAACATGGATTGATTTAGAGATAATGCTGGAAACAGTATTATAAGGTTTAACTGAGGTTAGAAATACAAGTGCATGATTGAGTCCAGTACTGAAAATGCTTTATTCTGTAGTTGTGTTAAGGACATGAGCTATCAAAGGTCTTCTACTATTAAGTTAAGAAGGCTCAGGACTTCTGTCCAGTGAAGGGTGGTGATGGTGCATTGGGGTGCTTTCCTGCAGACTACACACTCCCACACACTCAAGATGGTGGTGCAAATGCCAGGATGCCACTTAGTGTAGATGCTTGAGTAGGAATTGTGGGTTTGTAACAGTGGCCCATGCAGAAACTCAGAATGCTAAGATTTGATTTTGAAACAATTACCTTTTGTATCTCTGCTAAGTAGCTGTCAATGTAGTCTCTGGGTGCTGATGGGTCCCAATCTTGCTTGTGCCTCTCAACTTCTTCCCCCACAAAGGCCTCAAGTTCTTCATAGTTCTTAAAGACCCTGTTGTGTGGTCCTGGTAAATACTTCAATATCACAGGGAAGGCTTCATAAAGCTAAAGCCAAAATGAGAGATTAAGGATATTTCAGGTCCACTACTCTTCTTATTTAAATGGTTTATATCCTCTTAAATTGAAGCAGGCTGATACACAGCTGAGAGGAATAATGTAATTATTTCTGCATGAGCACAACATTGTTCATGTAACTAGTATTCACTCAATAATGGAACAAATTTCTAAATGAGCATCATGCCTTTGTAAGTCATCACCATCCCACCACCAATCATCATCACTATTAAAGATGATGTGATCCTAAATAGTTGTGTATAGTTTATTTTTGTTTTAACTGCATATGAGAATTGTAAGAAAATATTCTCTACCTGTGACCATATCGTCCCTTCCAAATGTATAGTTTCTGACAGTAAGTGCAGCAGCCTCTGGAAGTGATTGTCACTGTAATCAAATCTGCGTCCAAATACCATGGAGCAGATGATATTTGAAACAGCATTGTTCAGAAGGAAGTGGGGATTGAAAGGTTTACCTAATGGCAAAACAAGAGCATAATTAAGTCTGTTCCCTGCTTCTAATGAGCAGTGTACAGTATACTTATTAGCTGTGTTCAGGACATGCACTCCTGTGATTACCTTGCTCATCTTCTATAGCCTGCTGGAGAAACCTACTCTCCTCAGAAATCACTGACTCCAGAGTCTTCCTACCCAGCCCAAAGTTCCGCAAGGTGGAAAGAGCAAATCTTCTCTGTTTCTTCCACAGATATCCATTGCTAAAGATCAAACCTGTGGGCAGGGAAGAAAAAAAAGACACTAAAAATAAGGTTCTGTACATTCTGTATCTCTGAAAAAAAAAGAATGTAACTGAAAAATCATTTTTAATTTGACTTTTTAAAATGGCATTTAAAGCATTCGAAAATACATATTATGAATCATTTCAATAGTATATTGAATATAACTGAAATGTTAATAGATATTAAGAATGTAAAAAAATCACTTGGCTCAAATAAGATGTAAATAGTCATTCTCTGTTGACTTTAGCAATGTCATATGAAAAGATTTCAATTAAATGGAATAAAAATCATCACCATAGTTGCTGTAAAGTCTCTCCATTGTTGGACTTGGGGGTCGAGCCGCAAAGGTCTCTGCCTGATTGATCAGAGCCTCCTTCACCATCTGATAGCCCGTCACAAACACAGCTTTATTTCTTCCAAGCCTCAGGCTATAAACATTACCATAGATTTCTGCCAGCTTTGGAAAAAATGACATTCAGCATTTTCACCACTTTGTTATAGGTTTAGGAATAGGTATCAACATCAATATATAAAACTCTATTGTAGAAAATATATACTTTTTTTGTCAAATTTAATATTAAACAATAAATACAATATGTAAATCTTTTCAGCATGAGACTTAGGTTTAAGTTATTTGAACTGCAATAAATCTCAGGAGGAGTAATTAATATTAAAATAAGAATAGCGCAGTAACACTGACCTTTCCCATGGAAATATGGGGCTGTTTGGAGTCGATATTAAAGATGTTTCCCACGAAGGGTAGCCCCCAGGGTCCAGGAGGGAAGTTCTTGGGTTTCTTGTTCTTGACAATGTCGGTTATCAGCAGAAATAGCAAGAGGAAAATCAGAATACCTTGGGCATCCAGGCATTCAATAAAATAATACAATGACATCTTTAAAGTTGTGAGCTTAGCAGGTCCTCGTAACAAAACTTCGTAGTGTAAAACAAATATCTAATTTTCTTTTCTGAAACCCTGTTGGATAACTGTTCAATGAACTTTGAACAGGAAGAAATATGCACTTTGTACATAATAAGCCACTTTGGACAGGCTTGTTTTTTTCTCCCAAAGGTAAAACAATTAAATGGGTAAAATTACGCTGTGTATATAGTTAAATTAGTTCAAGTTTCACATTACGGAAAAATACGGTTTTGCCTTTATAAAAGTGTTTTTGTGTGAAGAACAAATAAATACTGATGAGAATATATTTAGGTGAACATTTAATTTGTCATGAAAAGAAAGGAGAAAATCATATGGCCTCGTGTTATATATGACCACATTACAGCACAATCAGAAATAAACTGTCCAGTTTTACTTTTTTTATGTTCAACATGATCATGATTAGTATCGAGCATTAAAATAACTTTTTCATTCAAATAATCATAATCTGATTTATGCATGTGCATATTTAGAAAATCTGACATATTGAACTTGAACATGATTCAAGTTGTTCAAGTTGTTCAAAATGTTTCTGGAGTCGTTTTCATTAATTAATCATTTACTGAAGATCATGATACACACCACGACTCTGGTTGCATAATCACAAAATCACTTCATATTGTAACGCAACGGGGGCTCAGGCGGGCGCCCTTGCCGCATTAGGTCGGCCCCCCACCGTCGGGGGCTCAAACCCGGGACTCCCGTGTCACTATGCAGCGACCCAGCCCCGTGAGCTAAAGAGAGATCTCTCTACAGCCCAGTAGCTGTAGTCCTGCTATCACAGGGAAGGGCGGTGACGTCACCTGCTCTGGTACGCCGGCTCTTACACATTGCCTGTCGGCCGTAAGCGTTGCAATATGTTAAAGCCAGATTGATTTAGTACAGGTGACGAGGTGATGTAAAACATTGAGATACAAGCACTGTAAAAATTTTAAAAGAAAAGAGCAGAAAAAAGCAGTGTTAACAGATATTGATCCATTGCTGAATGTTACCAAGGGTGTTCAGATGCTAAAATGTTTCCCTAAAATTGTCTTTTCACAGTACAAGCAAGTTAAAATTTTCCAAGATGTTATTAATAAAGACACATTTTTCCAGCACTGAGTAAATTGAACTATTTACAGTATATCTTTAAGTAAATCTTGCTGCAAGAAGAAAAGTGCGTTGTACAAAACACTATCAGTGATCAAACTGAATTCACCTTGTTCTAACTCTGTCTCATATTTCTCCATTTTAAAAGACATTCATACTGAGAACTGGCCTTTGCCACACTGATAATAGAACAAAGTAAATATTTGTGTGCTTTTTTCAGTTGACTCAGGTTAAACCATTTGCTTTATTTTAATAGTTGTCCTTGTTTAAAATAAACTCTCACTCAGCTGCTATTAGAACCCTGATCAAACCAAATGCTTTTGTGCTGTACAATTATGGTTTTATCACTCGGTATTTCTTTATACTGTAAGTTGAACCACTGCCACATCCTTGAAATTAGAAAAGAAAAAGAGAAACCTAAGATTCTTTTTGTTTGCACCAAGGGTGAGTCAAAAATGTTTTGAATTAAGCACCAAGCTTAGTTGATCC